AAATCACAAATTGCGGCAAATTTTTCTTTCCCAAGTCATTAAAAAAGATTCTTTTTTTATAATTTTTAAAGACTTAGCAATAAAAGAAAGTATGCAAGAGTACAAAGAAAATGTCCGTGATGGGAAGATGATAGGAGCGCATATTTTTGGGGTGAAAGATGGGATCGGATGGAGAGTCTCAAAATTAAAACCTAATTAAGAAGTGTAGTCTCCCCCCACGACAGGTTAAAAAAAAATTACAGAAGTCCTCGTGTTATTGAACGAGGGACTTAAGCGCATTTTTGTGTTAGCGATCAGTATTTGCTTATCTAATTATTAATTTGTTGCAATGAATTTCCATAGCGAAAAGGTTTATCATTTAACGGTTTTTTGAAATTCAAATTTTACAACGAAAACAAAACAAAGATTCATTAATTATAGCATAAATACACTGTTTTAAGACTTTTAAGCATTCGATGGGCCGATAAATCGATAATAACGGAGATAATAAAACAAACGCGAGCTCTCAACGATGTCTGCTTAAAAAGTTTTTCTTTACAGCCGAGCGAACAAAGTGCTTCAATAAGCTACCTTTTCAAAACAAGTTTCAAAAATGCGCTAAAATACAATTCAGATATGGGCCATTCACTTATTATGTAACGCGAAAACACTACTTTTTAGAACTCCCTTCCTCCTCTTGTAACAAAATGTTTCAAAGTGTAATATGTGAACGGACCCTTTAGTAAAGAAAAAACAAAACGGCACTGTAATTGCACCTATCCCATTGTTCTATGATAAATATTCTTAGTGAAACACTATGAATCCAATAATATCCAAACTGATATATTTGGGTTTACCCTCAGCAAAGAGAATAAATTCAGAGCATCCGTCTACTTGTTCCTGTTCATAGGATTAAGCAAAATAATAACCAAGTCAAGGCAAAGGTCTTCTTTAAACAATTGATCATCATTTTCATTGCCTTCAATGTAATCATGTTCTTTAATTCATTTTGAACAACTTCAGTGACTTAGCTGCAGCTTTTGAACTTGTATGATTTTTCCTGTGTGAAACTTTGCAACTGTAACGAGAAAAGGATGTGCAACTTTAATTTTATAAAATTCGATTCTTCGAATCTGGTAATAGATTTTGTAAAAAATGAGAGTTTCGGTACAAATTTAATAAAGACCTGATAACTTTATAAAAACACCCAGACTTTTGACATATCTAAAGCATTTTCCTCTAATAGAAGATACATATGTTCGCATTTTGTTTGTCAATCAGTCAGGCACGGAATTTTGCCATCATTGTAACAACTTCAGAACTCTGTTTTAATGTCGAAATGTAGGTTGTAACATGAAGTTTTGAAGACGAAAAACAAATCACTTGATGTGGTCCTTAAAATTGTTATGCAAAATCCTTTTTACCCTGAAGACTTATCATGCTTTTTAATGGTTGAGAAATAAGAAAACAGCTTACGAAACAACTTCTCAAATCAAATCCATGAATACTCAAAAATGTTTTGACTCGTGTTTATCTCATTTTAAGATAAAACTTTAGACAATCGTGCAGTTATTCCATTACTATTTACTATAACAGGATTTGAAGCAGAGCATTCCTAGATAGAGGCAAAAACGTTCATTAGCACACACGTTGAGCTTGAATGATACAGAACCTTGTTTAAGGTTTGGTTATTCATACAAAAAAATCATCAGAGGCTCATTAGTTTATCTAAACTTCACGATAAGTACCTAGCATTGTATCTTATGGAAGTTTAGTAGCGTATGTGTGAACAGGCATCGAGACAAAAAACAGCAAGGATCTTTTATGATCAAGCTATCAATATCGTTAATGCCACTCTAGATCAAGGATGAACTTTAACAAAAGCCACCACAGTAAGTCTCACAGAAAGAAAAGCAGATTGATCTTGGTTTGTACCATGATTAAAAAAGGAAATATTCAAGAGTATTAGTTTGTGGAGATGCTTCATAAATTGTTTTATAGGGTTTCAACAATAAAGGCTCATGAAAAGACATCTAAGCTTAAATGAATAGGCATAATAATTTTAATGACCATATCCAGTGATTTGTTTTTTGCCTTTAAAATTTCATGCTATTGCCTACACTAAGATATCAAAACGAAGTGCTGAAGATGTTTCAACGATAGAAACCTTCCGTGTCTGAAGTTGAGCAGACAAAATGTAAACGTATGCATCTTTCCTTAAAGAAATGTGCTTGATACAGCAGAAGTCTCCTTTTTATCGAATGACTTGATACCCACTTCCTGAAACCCATTTATTAAATTGGTATGAATAAAACTCTCCTTGGTTAATCTGGAAGACCGCTTATTTCTAAAAATTCAAGTAGCAATGGTTTAGCCTGTGATTTTCCAAAGTGGAGATACTTTTGAATTTTTAAGAGTGGACTAAGAATTTTGAAAAATCATAAAAACCCTTGATAAATCCAATCCCATTCATTTAAAATACTTAGCTTTCTGATCATCGACTTCTTGCTTCATTTCAGGCTTACTCCTTTTCTTCTCAACGAACTTTTCACTTCATTTTATTTCATTTTCAAATATATTTAATTTTTTTCGATCACTTTTGCTTTTCTCTTTAATTTGAGCATAACAACGTTTTATGCTTTATAAATATTAGTTCCATCACTTTTACAGCATTGCTGAACTTTATCATTTAAACTTAAACAATTTTAAATCGCGCACGAACGTGAAAACTCGACTGAATTTCAATGAATGAAGAGAAACTGAATGCAAAGGTATCTATGATTAATTAAATCTTTTGAATTCATCTTTGCATTTTTCTGCATTTAACTTGTAAAAATTTAAATTTGAAAAGATCGATTGTTAAACCATTGCTTTTAAAACAAATTTCAACAATTTGATGAACTGATGCCTTTTTTACCTAATCAATATTTGTCAGATCAATAACTTGTGCTGGTTTATTTTTATGGCTTTTATCAATGCAGTTTTAACATATGTAAAAAAAATTACAGAAATCCTCGTTTTATTGATCGAGGGACTTAAGCGCATTTTTATATTCACACCGTTTTCACGTGTGAATCTATTGGTTTTGTTCAGATTCTGTTTTTAATTATCTAATTATTTTGCATTCATTTATAATAATTACAATGAATGCTTACATAGAAAGGCTTTATTATTGAACAGTCTTTTGAAGTTCAAATTTTCTAGCGGTCAATAAATATTTGAAATTTTTCCGCTAAAAGTTGCACTACAAAAACATTAATTATAGTTTAATTAATAATTTGTTTCAAAGAATTTATAGAAATGTAAATTGAAATTTACATTTTACAACGGCTAGAAAAAATTTTAAATAATAGAGGTAATGTTGAAATTATAGAGGTAAAATAAAATTTGGAGAGGTTACACTGAAAATAAATAAAAATTCATTAATTACATCATAAATGCATGATTTAAAGACTTTTAACCATTCGATGGGCCGATAAATCGATAGTAACGGAGCTAATAAAACAAACGCGAGCTCTCTACGATATCTGGTTAAAAAGTTTTTCTGGAGACGAACGAACAAAGTGTATTATTAAGCTACCTTTTCGAAACAAGTTTCAAAAATGCGCTAAAAATCAAAAAAATCTCAATTTAAAGAACAAAACACGATCAGACAAAATGCTGTGCTGACTCCGAATACATCTGCAAATTTCAATAAGAAAACTTTCTCAGAGAAAAATCTCAGTTTTTGTCTTAATTTATGCAATTAATTAACCCTCGACCGTCACTGACTGCAAAGACTTTTCACTCTTTTCTTCTTAACCATTGGCATATGTGAAAATCATCATGCATACAATGTATGTAGATGAGTAATAAAACAAATAATAATAAAGATTTATGGCAAAAATGTTTATTATTTTTAGACCCGAAGTGCGAGGAGAAAAAAAATTCGTGAAAAAAAATTTATTAAAAAAAAATCTTTTCCGCGTTTATTTTAAGTCAGCAAGAGCCACCCGCAAATGTATGTGGGAACAAAAAGAAAAAAATTTGGAAATGTTTCGCGATATTTTCACGGTGAAAACATGAGGAAAATTTTATTTTTTGGTGCGATGATGACAAATCCGTGCAAGTAGCCGATGAGCAATTTTTCAATGGCAATTTAACGAATGTGAAATAAAAAGTTGTTTCTCATAATGTTAAAATAAATTAGTTTACCGTCTGTCTACATGTCGTTCATTCAACAAAGGCTTGGAATTATCTGACAAACAGGATTATACTAAAAAATTTGAAATGTAAGAATAAATTTCTTTCCTGTCTTTAGTAAACACGAAAGTCAATATTTTCCTTTCACTGAGGTCAAAGAACACTAAATGATAAATTCCATTAATGTTGAAGTTTAACTTTGCTTCACATTTCGTATGGAAAATGATTTATAAGAATAAATTGGATGTCTATCCCGTCCCTAAAATAATTAATTGATGAGGTTGTTGAAAAACTCCTTAAGATTTATTAATGAAGTGGAAAACGTGACATTTTACAGACTTCAACCTTTGATATTAAGTATTAAATTTTGCATGAACCAGCCTTTTAGATTCTTTAATTCCCGACCATCGGATGAGCTAAATACCCAATAATTAAGATCCGTGGTCCTAAAACTGTGAACAACGGCACAGAAAATTGAGTTCAAACCAAAAGTTCAGTGTGCACCTATAAAATAGCTTTAACTGAAAAAGTTTAAGAACTCCTGATGTAAATGTAATGTCATTTAATATTCCGTTACATTGCAAATTGACAATTGCATGTAAAATAATTCCTTTCATAAAAATAGGTTACAGGTTCTCATAATTCAAACGTTTATCATAAAGAACTTTACCGTCCAGTGCTCTGAATAATTTAATAGACTTACAACATACAAGTAACAATTATTGCAATTTTTATGAAAATTTACATCGTCGTTCCATATTTTTTTAAACAAAACAATTTCCATAAATAGCCATCGATTTTCCATTAAAATGAAAAATAAGCTTGTCATCGAAACTCACCTCATAATTTTCCGTTTGTTGTTTGGATGTAATTTATTGGCCGTTGCCGGATCTATTAATTTAAGATATTCATAAAGTTTTGTTGACTCAATCTCCAACATTTTCTCGTTTGTCGCGGAATTGTCAAGAAAATCTTTTGCATCCTCAGTCAATTCATCACAATAATTAGTATCATCAATTTTTCTTTTGCAACCAACGCCCGGCGATACGAGATTGTGCCATAATATGCTTTCAATATAATAGTTTGTGCCACCAACAATGATCGGACTCTTTGATCGTTGCAATAAATTATCAATCTATGTTTTAGAGAGTGGAAGAGACAAGAAAAATAAATAAATAAATATAAATATGCTTTTTTTGCTGCTTGATCAGAACGAATAGAAATGAAATGAAATGAAAGATAGAGAAATAAAGCATCATGATTTGATTTCATTTTTTTAAACGAATAATTTTTGTACATTTTTGAGAATGAGCTGCTGTGTTTATTTATTCTTTGTGTCTGCATCAGAGTGAAAAATTGATGAAAATTGGAATTTAGCATCAAAGCTTTAATTGCAGATTTAAGTCTAAGGGGTGAACCCCTTTGCTCCTCCCTTGTCATGTCAGTCTGAGTCAAAAAATGCGTTTCATCAAAAAACCATGCACAAAATTTCATACTGCATCTTTTTGCTTGCTCTAAATGGACATCGTTATATACATTCAATTCAAGACCATACACAAGAGAGACTTATGAGACACATGCCATATAAAATACCGCATCATATTTTTTTATTTTAAATTGATCCATTTAATATATGTAATTTCTTACATTTCATAAATCGTATGATCAGAATGAGTACGCAATGTAAACGACAAAATAAATGTAAGGAAAAAATTGTTTATGTGGCGATGATAATTATCAGTATCATAAATTTCTTTCATACGAAACGATCTTCGTCTAGAAATTGTCATAATCTTGTAATATTATAAATGAAATCTTACTTTTTTTTAAGTTATGAGATTCAAGTGTAGATTTTGAAGGAAATTTCCGCGAATATGCAAACACAAAGGAGAAGCAAAAAAATTTCCATTAAAATTTTTCTTCACGGTATAAACATCAGTCTTATTTGAGTATAATTTAAGCGAATGATTTTCAATAATTTCAACACATTTTTTATTGACAGGCAAGAACAACTTCTGGGAAATAGAAACTAGAATTTTGAATAACTAATGAAGTAATTATTTCTGCAAATGATCTTATGTTGTTAGACTAGCTTTGTAGATTACCGATCTGTAATTTTTCAATATATATGTATATGATCTTATTACTCTCAGTGGGTAGACTTTTAATGCTTGATACATGACTCATTGAGATTTTTACGCACCTTTGGCATGATTACAACATATGAGTTAATAATTTCAGGTCAATATGTTCTCAAAATCGCAGACTCTCACTTTCCTTAAATATTGGACGTCATGAATAAACAAACCCCATTAAAAAATCTCAATTAAAAATTCCCGATAAATTTTAAACAGAGTTTAATAAAATCTCAATTAAAAATCACATATGAGCACCATACATTGTATGTAGTTATACAATTTTTTCGCATCTCTTCTTATCATTCCATTACGATCGTTATGATTATTACTTTGTTGCTTCAGTATAAACATCATTGAGGAGTTCCACATTGATTTACCATGAATAAAAAAAATAAACTTTGCTATGAATCAGTTTTGTCCACAATTGTACACTTAACGCTTATTACATATAAAATTTTTTGTTTAGTGACATGCGAATGATGTTCAGACTGACCTAATTTGATGAAATTTTACTTTTTTTATTTTTAAATCTACATGATGTTCGGCCTTTTTTTTTCGAGTGTCGCCTAGTGTTGCGCAAATAAATAAATGTAAGTGAAGAAAAAGAAGTACAACTGAGAGGAAAAGTAAAGAATTCAACAGGAATCAGTGCGACAGTGAATTAAAAATAGATAGAAATGAAAAAAAAAAGATATTCACGTTCTTTTACTTTTTCTTGGCACGTTTATTTCCTATCTTTATATGTTATTTATTTATATAAGATAATCATCTTATGTGTGCTTAAAATATCGAAGAAGTGATAAAGATACCTTAATATCTGTTACGGCATTCAGTTAAAGAAGCATCAAAAATCAGTCATAAGAATGGTTAAAGATTCATTCTATGTTGCTATCATGTTTCGTATTAAATTTAGCTTAAAGGGGAAAAAGCCTATTCAAATTAAATTCAATAGACTAGTAATTGCTTAACCTATTTCCAAGGAAATCAAAGAACTCCGCTATTTCATAAGAACCAACAAAAAATAGAATATTTCATAACAGTTTTCCCTTTCAAGCACAAAACCAATTTACGTCTTACAATAAATTTACCTTAATATTAACACATAATCGAATAAGTATCGATAGATATCAGCACATTCCTATACAAATATTTGCCTTTATCATAAGACCTATTTCTTTGTTCTGTTCCCCCCTTCTCGTTTACATGTTAACGTAACTCTTGTGATCAAACATTTCTGTTAGAGACGATGAGAGGAAAAAAAAATTCCGCTTGTCGTTATCACAAAAAAAAAACCCGAAATATTGTACATAAAGCCTCTTAAATAAAGACAGAGTTTCTGGGTGATATGTGTAGTGATGAAAATAACGACCTTGAATATTTTTTTTTTTCTATATATTTCATTTCGCTAGCAACAGAGAGAGCGAAAAAATTTCCGTCACTGCGTACGGTCTCTTTTTTTTATGAGCTAGCTTCAAATGAAACATACAAGTATCTCGACTGATAGTGCGAAAAAAGCTGTAGATACAGCAAGGGACTGTTGATATGGATTTGACAATGGAGTTCTTTGTAAAATTTATGAGACCACAATGTCTCTATCTTTTTATTTATGCAATAATTCCAATCTTTATGTAATATATGCAATATATCAATTGATTCATATTTCGATTTGATAATTTACATGATCATGTAAAATTAAGCTTTAAGGATTGTCAAGGCTGAAATTGAGTCTTGTGGGGGGTAGATTTAAAAATGATAGCTTAACACATTTATAGCCGACTTGTGTGAACATTAAGTTTTAAGTGTCGCTTCGAGGTTCATTGAAATATGAAATGCCAAATTCTTAATATGCAGGCGAATGTCCATAACGGTATACAGCTTAAAAAAACTCGATTTATTTGCATTTGAGAATCTTTCGGATTTGTCTCTAACTGAATTGATTTTACGACTTTAGAATTAATAAGGAAATGAGATGCTCAAAAGACAAAGAATGACAAAACTTAATTCTTTGAAAAAATCAAAGGATTACGGATCTAGAATATATTTTAAATAGTTTAAGAAACATTTTCCCATGCCTTTGAAGCTGAAGAAGTTCAAAGCATTAATATTAACACATATAAGCTGTAAAAAAGAGGCTGGATTTTCATCACCATTCAATTTAATATGTTCGCTAGTGTTTGAAATAAAAAAATGCGATAAACATACGTTATTTTAAATGGATTTCAGACTATAATAAGCCAAAAAAAAATTACATATTCATAATCAAATTTTAGTCATATGGTAGCCATATCGTCAGACTATTTTCAGTTTACATTTTTTTACACAAATTTCTAATGTGTTAAATGTAACTTCCTTTGGCCTATAATTTATGACGCAAATACATGATTATGGAATGTGGGTTAGTAAGTGTTTTCTGAATTTATAATGATTTTGAGCAAGAATTTTTACTAACATTAGCATGAATGGTATTTACCGATTCCGACAAAGGATCGTTAATTTTACAAAACAGTTTGAATGGTTTCTGATTTTTGTGTGATTTTTTTTTTACTTCAACAAATATCATATCTATGTTCTAATAAAGCTAGTCGTAGTATATGCTCGTCATGTGAATAAACTTTTCAAGGACGGCTGTTGCGTATTTCGATGTAGACAGTCGTCAAGTGAATAGTTTTGTGTTAGAATATAGGACAGATTAATTTTTATTAGGCAGAAATATTTGGACGATATTTTATGTCGAGAATTATAATTAAATTTCACAGCGTAAACTATTGATTGAATTTCCCAATAAAACTAGAATTATCCGAAAATAATTACCAATTCAAGTAGCATCGTCATCGCCAACATCACTTTTGTTATCAAAAACTTAAACTTTGTTCGCCTAACTCACACGATTCTGTCACGAGCTGATAAAGGCATACCAAAAGAATAATTACGGATTATCTTTATGCTTCATTAATTTCAAATTTTAAAACGAACCAAAATTGCTACAAATATGATGAACACTTCCCATCGCGCGAGCACAGCATTGTAATCAAGACGCACACACTACGTCAATAAAGTAAGAAGAAAATAATTCATCGTCAATTTAAATTGAATCCACCGTAATTTATTTAAAGTCAGATAAAAAAGTGTAAGAAGATGGAATGAAAATGCCATCAGGTTGAGCTTGAGTAGCATTAACATTTAAGTTTTAATCTTTTTCATAGCTCCTTGTACTCTTACTCACTTCATTGACTAAACGAAGCTTCATGTTTATTAATGGATGAGGGGAAATTAGCATAAAATCAATTAATTTTCAATATTTTAGAAGTGCGTACATAAAACATGTATTTTCTTCTTGACATTTTGTCGTATTGAGCAGAGTTGTTCTCTTAGTCTGCCATGTCAAGGTAATTTTCAAACTTTGGGCACCAAGCTAGACAGTATTGATATCAAGACTCTACTGCAGATAAAGATAAAGCAATTAAAAAATGTAGGTTGGAGACAAAAAAAATGGATACGCAGATCCACGTACATGTGTAATTAAAATTCCTATTCTAAAATAATTGAGACTATCATCTGGCTTTTGTATAATAATTTTAAGCTCTGTAATCGATAGCATGAGAATTTTTATGTCACTTGAACAAATTTACTGAGTTTACTATTTGAACACATGAATTTTGTTTATTCTGCTCAAAAATTCCCGGCAATCGATTTCCTTTCCTCGAACTCTTTAAAGATTAAGGAGATTAAAATTGTATAAATCATAAAACTTATCAGCCACAAGTTTTCAATTCATATCCCTTGAAAATGATACGACTGCCTTGAAGAAGAAGCCTGTTTCATGTGCTTTCAAGGATTGATAATGCAAACTTTGAATTTTTTCAATATTTTAAATGACACATGTTGGATGGAATTCCAAGGAAAATAAAAATGAGATGAAATTGTGTGTGGCACGTGTAGATAAAGTTATCGAGCATTATATAGGACAAAACTGTTATCAAACTTTTATTTGGCTGAT